GGCCTTTGCGAAGAGGCGGTGTCAGGGCTAAGGTGCAAGGATGGGGCCACGGGGCTGTGTCTGGGGTGAGCACCTGCAGCCCAGCCCAGGCATGGAGGGAATGGAATACAGCCTGGGCAGAAGGACCAGGAATCCTGCTTTGTCCTAACAATTCCTCCTGTCCTCCTGTGTGACTTTGGGCCAGTGATTTCATCTCTCTGAGCCTCCGTTTCCTCATTTGTAGAGCAGGAGGGCCCATCTCCTGGGTGGTTGGAAGGAATCAGTGAGGTAGCATGTGCCTCGTCCTTTCCGAAGCCAAAATAAATGAACATGTCAGTCTTAGGAGGCTGCCTTGCCTGGGGGAAGAGCAAGGGGCTTAAAAAATTGGGAGCTCCTGGGGCGCCTGGGTGGCTTAGTCGGTTAAGCGTCCGACTTTCCCTTAGGTCATGATCTCACGGTTCGTGGGTTCGAGCCCCGCGTCGGGCTCTGTGCTGACTGCCAGCTCAGAGCCTGGAGCCTGTTTCAGAGTCTGTTTCTCCCTCTCTCTCTGACCCTCCCCTGCTCACGCTCTCTCTCTCTCTCTCTCTCTCTCTCTCCTAGAAATAAATAAAAATATTTTAAAAAAAATTGGGAGCTCCTGCCTCCAGCCGTGCTGTGTGACTTTGGGCAAGACCCTGCCCCTCTCTGGGCTTCAGCATCCAATGCCAGAAGAGGGGTTGGAGGTAGCCCTCACTGAGGCACTTCCTTCTTTGAAGAGTCTCTGATGGATACAGCCCCGTGGGGAGGAGGGGGTGGGCTGGGACAGAGGAAAGGGTTGTGGCAAGGACCAGGCACCCAGACCAGACCTGGTTCAGCTCACACCCTGGAGATGGGGGCCTTCGCAGAGGCCGCTGAGCAGACGCTCCGTCCCCTCGATATTTACTGATCCAGTGAGGCTGGGGGGCAGGGAGGGCTGGTATTTAGAATCTTACAGCATCCGTGGCAGCCTCTGCCTGGTGAACCTTCACGGCGCCGCCCCCAGGAGCCTGATTAGATTTTATCCCCCGCTCAGCTGTGTCCATGTCCCCACGTCCGTGCCATCACCAGGCACGCCAGGATTTCGGGCCAATTGCTTGTTTAGGAGACCGTCTGTCTTGGGAGGCAGACCAGCAGGCCCAGCTAGTGAGCAAATAATCCACACCCCCCACCCCCCGGCTTTGAACCCAATGGCAAGAATCATTTTTCTTCTGACGAGCCTCTGCCCCACGTCCCGATGAAGGAAAACAAACATGGGTGTCAGAGTCGAGCAAACGTGGGACCTTTGTAGCCCCTGGAGCTTTAGTTTCCCTGTCTGTGAAAAGGAATGAGCGTAGGGTTGTCTGCTCAGCAGGGGTGCATGTGGGTCGGGTGAGATCGCTCTAGGTGAGCGCCCTTGACTCAGTGCATCCTCACTGCCCTGCGCTCCCACCCAGAGCGCTTGGTTGGTACTCTGTGAATGCTCCTCTCCAAGTGCGGCATTACTGATTGGCACTAGGTCTGAGTGAGTCCTTGAGGGAGGAAAGCCGCTGGTGTCTGCACCTTGGACCCGGCCCAGGGCTGGCACCGGAGGGGGCCTGACCCGCAGGAGGGAAGGGACTGGATGTACAGCCACCAGAGTGCTTCAGCTCCATCATTCCCCCGCCCCCCACCCCCGATGCTGCAGTGACTCTGAGAGCCCCCGTCTTCCAGGTGGGAGCCAGGGACCCCCGGGAGGTGAGCCCCAGCAGAGCCCTGCTGCTCAGAAGCCAGACTCCTGGGGGACCCTGAGGCTCTGCCCTGGACCACAGCGCCCTCGCCTGGCCAGGGCGCGTGCAGGACCTTTCTGGGCTCCACGCCAGCCCAGACCTGCATTTGCTTCCTCCCCTGGGGCTTCACTCCTGTCCACCTGCCTCCTTCTCTCTCTCCACAAAGTACGCCCGGAGGCCGAGGGCAGCGAAAGTAAAGGGAGTGATTTATGAACTGAGCCGTTCTTCTTAATCGGAGAACCCCTCCTGGGCCTGCTCGGTGCAGATGGAATTGAGCCGCCATCTGGGGCGGTGGGAGGGGCAGGGTTAATGAAGCTGTCTGGCCCAGGCAGGGGCCCGCATGGGAGAGCCCCCCGGTGCTGCGTGACCTCACCCGTGTCTGCCCCTCTCTGGGCCTCAGGGCTCCCATCTGTCAAGAGACGGCGGGCTTGGGTCATCCCCCAGAACCTTCCAGCTGGCACAGGGGAGGGGCTCTGCCTGCTTGCCCGATTCAGCACAGAGCAGCCCTGGGTTGGAAGTTTCCGAGCGAAAGGCACTGCACTTCCTCTTTCCAGCGTTCTCTCCGCGGGCTGGTGTCTCGTCAGGTGCTCTGATTTGGAGTCCGGCTTGGCCGTGAATCATGACCGTGTTTCACTAGCCATGTGAATAAACTCAGGCCAGTTATGTATATTCTCTAAGTCTCAGCTTCCTCGTATATAAGATGGGATAATGACGGTACCTATCAGGGTGCTTGGGTGGCTCACTGTTCGAGAGACAGAGAGTGCTGACAGCATGGAGTCTGCTTGGGACTCTCTCTCCCTCTTTATTTCTGCCCCTCCACCATACGCTCTCTCTCTCTCTCTATCTCTCTGAAGAAAAAGAAAAAGATAAAATAAAAATAGAATAATGGTACCTACTACTACATAAAGTATACATAAGAGAAGGCAGGAAAAGTGCTGAGCAGAGCCCGCTACGTGGTTAACACTCATTACTATGAGCCATTGTTAGGCTCGGTTATCACAAAATTGTAGCAGTTATTTTGAACTTGAGGCCACTCAGGGGAAAGAGGTTTATATCCATCCTGACCAAGCCATATGCCCAGGGTTCTCCCCCGTGCCCACCTCCTCTGACAACTGGTGGGTGTGGTTTGGGCATCCATTTATTTCCAATATGTGACATGGCGATAATAACAGCTCCCAGGGGGAAGAGCACTGTGCAGGCTTCCAAGGCAGGTTTCCATATGGTATCAGTTCATTTCATGTGCGTCATATCATGAATTCTTACAACCACCTTTGGCCTCAGGATCGAGGACCACGGTTTTCAGAGGAGAACCTGGCATCTCGGCGAGGGGGGTGACTTTCTGAAGGTCTCAAGGGAGCGAGCCGAGGCAGGGGCCATCCCGGCTGTGATGGGGGGGCATGTGGAAGGCATCGCCTTGGCTGCCCTCTGCCAGCTGCCCTGTCATGCAGATCGTGGCTGTGTCAGAAAACAGCCAGGGGCTGGGGGAGCAAGAAAGACTGAGACGGGAGGTTTGTCCACAGCAGTCGGAACTCGAAAGAGGGGTGAGCCCAGGGGCTGGCATACGATGGGTGGGGAGTTCAGTGCCGGCTCCTTGTCGCTGGACGGGCCTCCTGTGTCTCCTGGGTGTCTCACCCCAGCCCCAAAGTCTCGAGGAAGATGAGCCACGTCACGCTCAGGACAGCTGCCAGGCTGAGATGCCGGACGGGAGTGGTGATGTTGGGGGACCAGGGACGGGCTGGGACAGGGGAGAACTGACTCCTCCCTGGGTCCCCGAGCCCTAGGGCTAGGCCTGGGGTGCAGCCCCTGATCTAGAATTGGGGCTTCCCTCCCCAGGACCGCAGACACCCTAGCTCTAGGAAGGAGCCTGCGTAGGCTTTATCTTGCCCAGTGAGCCATCTCTTGACCAAGTTCCAGCCCAGAGCTTCCTGGATCTTGCCTGGACCTGGGGGCTTCTCTCTGCGCCCCCACCCCCACCCCACCCCCTGTGTCCACCCTGCTGGTAGTGTCCTGCCGCTAGGGGCCAGAGTACACAGAAGCTTCCCTCACCACTGCGGGCCGATTTCAGGGGATTTATCACTGTTTAGGCCAAATCAGCGTACCAGCTCCCGGGAGGGAGGCCCTTTTTCTTGCCTTTCCTTCTGCCCAGCCTCGCCTCCGCCCTTCCTCAAGACCTGCTCACCCAGCCACCCCTTCCCCCGTGAAACCTCCCTCCTTTCCCCAGCAGAGTTTCGCCAACGGACAGTTAGCTCACCGTCCCACGGTCCCCAGCCCCATCGTCCCTTTCTCTGGCTCCTCCATCTTCACCGCCCAACCCGGGGTGGGGGGAGGGGGGAGCTTACTGGCATCTCCATTCCCTAACGCCATCGGATGAGGATGGTGTGCTTACTTCCATTTCCTAACACGGTGCCCAGCATGCAGTAGGCGCCAATCTGTGTCTCTGGAGCAGATGGATGGATGGATGGATGGATGGATGGAGAGGAATCTCTCAGCCAGCACCCCATATCCACAGGACGGAGTCTGAACTGGCCCCCGAGACCCCCCGAATCTCCCCCTCCATCCCCGTGAGAACACCCGCCGTGGCCCGAGCTTGCCGGTCTCATGCTTGTGCGCCCTTCTTGAGCAGGCCCCGGCCGTGCCCGTCCCCCCGGGACAGAGCACGAGCCTCCATCTGGCCCATTTGACTACTGAACCCAACCCCCCACGTCCACATCGGGGACCTGGCTGTCTAAAGGAGCTTCCTGGCAAATCCTTCAGTGAGGCTAAGGAACCCTCTCCAGCCTCAGATGTCTCTCTCGAGAGTCTGGCTTTCTGGAGAGGGGGTGTGAACGGAGCTGGCAGTCTGCCTGCTGGGGCGTCCCTGCAGGGGTGCCAGTGGCAGCTCTGTGGCATCCAGGTGTGTGGGCCGCCGCACCCGCCGCCTCCCCTCGGTTCATCAGCTGCATGCAGTGCGTCTGCATAGACGAAGCCCATGCTGTCTGAAAGGCTGAAAACTGAAAGGCTCTTAGAAATGCGGTTCCCCACACAGCTCTTGGGAGGACCCAGGAGCTGCCAATGGGGCAGAGGGTGGGCCCCCCGGGCGGCCCCCCCACCTCCAGCTGGAAGGGCCCAGATGCCGAGAGCTTTTCATGAGCACTAATGGGCCCGGATCCTCGAGCTGCTTGCCCTGTGTGCGTCCTTGGGGTAGGTTTTCATAAACAGCTTCTTGAATGCGCTGCTGCTTATTAACTTCCTCTGGTAACTGGATATTTTCTCTTCCAGGAGAAGCTGGGCCACTAAAAGAAAACACAAGAGCCCCTCTGACCAGAGACTCTGTCCTGCTGACGCCTTCAGACCTGCCCAGGTGACAAGTCAGCACCTGACACTCTCCCTCTCGCCGCGGGCACCTCTGCCCTGTCCCCCACACCGGCCCCCACCCGGCCTCCAGCCCTTCCTCAGTCTGTCTCTTCCCCTGTCACCCCTTGCTGTCCGCCTTTCTCTGTCTCTCCCTCTCTGATTCATCTTGGTCTACGTCTCTGATCTGTTTTCTAGTCTCTGTTTTCTCTTTCCCCACTTCGTTCCTACCGATGTATTAATGGAGGACTCAGTGTGTGCGACGCACAGCTCTGGACCCTAGGAATACGGCAGGGAACAAAACAAGTCCAAGCCTTTATTTTTAAAAAAAAAAAACTTTTAATGTTTATTTATTTGAGAGAGAGACAGAGTGTGAGCAGGGGAGAGGCAGAGAGAGAGAAAGACACAGAATCCGAAGCAGACTCCAGGCTCTGAGCTGTTAGCACAGAGCCCGACTCGGGGCTCGAACCCACGAACCGTGAGATCATGACCTGAGCCGAGGTCGGATGCCCAACCGACTGAGCCACCCAGACACCCCCGCCCATGCCTTTACGAAGCACGTGCTCTAACAAGGGACAGCACCAAGTAGGCAGCGTATCCATGGGCCCTGACGGGGCTTCAAGGCCAGGGCCAGGTCACCTCTGTCACTAGCTGGCGTGATACCTCGGCCACACCCCTTTTCCATCTCTCAGCCTGTTTTCTCATCTCCCAAGTGAGGGAATTGGGCCGACGGCGCCACCCTCCCTTTCCGTGACCGAGCACCTCTTTTGCTGGAATGCTGGTGACACACGTGACACGAGCAGATTCTGAATCAGCGGTGACGTGAGCAGGCTTGTCGGAGAAGAGTTTCTGACCAGTCTGAGGCTCTGACACGCCTGGCTTCCTTGTGCAAGAGGCAGCCGGTTGCCTCTGGGGGCCGGGTCATATGGTATAACACCTGTGGGTGGGCCCAGAGCCCGCAGTTGGCTGGGTGGGGGGGGCCCCCTGTGACAGGCGCCTTGAGCCCCGGAGACCCAGGGCAGCAGGCTCCCAGCCCCGCTCACCCTGGACCAGACCCCTGAGCCAGCCGCGAGGTGAGGGGCTGATTTCCCAGGTGTCGACTGTAATCCTGAAACAGCTTTAGGAAAGTGCTAGCCTCGGGGAACCCAGTTTGAGCACCATTCTCCCTGGTCAGAACTCCGCACGGGAGTTCCCGTCCCTGGGAGAGCAGGCGACAGGAGCCGCCTCTCGGCTGGGAAGCAGGGAGGAAACGAGGGGCCCCCTCGGCGTGTCAGGCGTGGCCTGGTGGGTGCGCCATGTCCCTTCCGCACAGAGATCCCCGGTCTCCTTCATAAGTGCCTTGGAACCTCATTTCCAAGAAACAGTGAAGCCCCGGGACCTCACCGTCTCCAGATTCTCCTCAGCCAGCCTTCCAGAACCCAGGTGCCCACCCTCCTTGGACGCAAGTCAGGGAACTGGGCTATGCTATGCTTGGCTTCCAGAAGGCTCTGTGGGTGGGTGGAGTGGACAGCCAGATCCAGGCAGGGACCGGACCTTCCTTGGTCTGTCCCTCCTGTCCGGCCAGTTGGCTGAGGCTGTGTCCCACGTGCAGAAAGCCCTGGCGGCAGGTGACGCTGGCAGGCAATGGCCTTCCGACTTCAGCCTGGCGGTGGGCGTGATGGCCCCCGAGGCTGATGGCCCTGAACAGTAGCAAAGGTGGTGGCACAGAAGGCGTGAAGACAGGCCTGGATTGTGGAGGAGGATGGATGAATGGAGCAAGGGAATTAGCGCTTAGCGGAACTGATGGTGAAGAATTGTGGCTCCGGGTTAAGAGAGACCTGGGTTCAAATCCCGGCCCAGGCGTGTCCACACTTTGTGACCTTGATTGAGTGACTGCACCTCTCTGAGCCTCAGCTCCCTCGCATCACCTCTCTCCCGGGGCTTTGCAAGGACTGAGACTGTGCGTGTTCCTTGGCCCACAGTAAGAATTTGAGCCACGCCAGCTGCTACTAGCTGTTGCTATGCTCAGCCACCGTCCTGCCGAATTGTGTGCCGAACCCCGCACCCCGTATTTTCCATGTGGAATGAGGGAAGCATGGTCTCTATTCTAGTCTTAAAGACAAGGACATGTAGATGCAGACAGTTTAGGAATTTGCCCCAGGTTAGGAAGCTGGGTCCTGCTCACAGTACTGCTGGGAGGAATCTTCTGGAAAAAACTTGTTGGAAAAAACAAGACTCAGGAAGGTGGGGTAATTTGCCCGAGGCCACAGAGCAAATGGTAGACTAGGACTTGAGCCCAGGCCGGCTGGCTTCTCCGAGCTCTCCCTCCTAACGGTGGTCTGAGGGAGGAAGCTGTTACACCTCTTCCCTCCTCCCCCTCCACCTGCCGCAAGGGCGGGGCCAACCACCGGGAACCCCCATGGGAAAGCGGGGGGGGGGGGGGGCGTGGGGAAACTGAGGGCCTTGTTGTTTTGTAGGTAGAACACCATGGAAGGCGACTGCTTGAGCTGCATGAAGTATCTGATGTTTGTTTTCAATTTCTTCATATTCGTAAGTACGGCTGGAACATTCCCGGGCCCTCCCTGGGCCTCTGCTGGGTGTGGAGATGAGACCGCCCTTTGAAGTCCTCGCATGGGGCTGAGTCCTGGGGGCAGGAACAGGGGGCTGGTGCTGGTGCTGGAAGAACTTCCTGGGTGAGAGGCCCCCCCAGTAGGGCCCGCCCCACTGCAAAGAGCCACCGCCACGGGAGAGGTGGCCTGCACGGGAATGCTGGGGTGGTTTGTGTCCCCGACAAAGGCTTGGGGCCCTAGGGATCTGATCCCTGATGGAGAGTCGGGGAGAAGGAGGAGACGGGGGTGATCAGAGGGCAGGACAGAGAGCCCCACTCACCCCTGACCCCCAGAGTGGCAGGGCTGCGCCGATGTAGTAACCGCCTGCTGTAATCTGAAACCTCTCTGGGACTGGGGTTCAAAGCTGGCTCTGCACCTTGCCGGCTGTGTGTTCAGAAACACATTTCACCTCTCTGAATCTCAGTATCTTTATCCCTTAAGTCCCTACCTCACCAGGTTTTTCTTTTTCTTTTTTTTAATTCAGCGAGATTAGTTTAGGAAGTGCCCGGAATGTGCCAGCACTCCGCAGCTTGGCTCCATCCTTAGTATCTAGTCCATGGATTCTCTATAAGAAAACACAGAGAGGCCCTGAGGGCTCAGGTGGCAGCCCAGCGCCTTGTAGCCCCACCCACCGGCTGGCAGCCCTGACCCTGAGGCCCCAAAAGCTGTCCTAATCCTGCCAAGCCCCGAGTGAGTAGAAGTCCACTGATGCCATCCCGACAGGGTCACTGTGAAAGGAGAGGTTCCTTTCTGGTCAAGTCTGGCTCTTCCTCTCTTCTCTCTCTCCATCTATTTTGCATACATTTCCGCAACTCTCCTGGGTTCCCTCGCTTGCCCACATCATACAGACTTGAATTCCAGGCGTGACTTCCAAGCTCACGGGTGCCACCGGGGAGGCTCTGGTCCCCCCACCCCACGGGGATTTCAGACACCTTACTCCCTTCCAACTCTGATGAGGCCCAACTGTTTCTTCTGCAACAGATCTGCTCCCAATGCTGGTCTATCCCCAAGAAAAGTGCAAGGGATGCTTATTGAAACTTGCTAAGTACACTGTATCCATTCTGTCCGTTCTTCCTGGAGGCCACCTTGGGAGATGGAACTTTGCATCTTCTTTTACCCAAAGAGGAAGCTAAGGCTCAGAGAGGTTAAGCCACTTACCCAGGGTCACACAGCTGATAAGAGGCACACCCCTTTCTCTGGGCTGAGCTGGCTCTCCCCAGAGCTGAGTAAGGCATGGAGAGGTGGGCGGTGGGCATGACAGAAACAAGAATGCTTTCAAGGAGCAAGCTTGAGAGGGGCGAGCTCCTGTTGAGGACTAAGAGGAAGGCTCGTGTCCATGTTTTTCTAGCCCCTAGTGTGGCCACAGCCCAGGCCTCAGAGCACATTTCACCGGCTTGGTAAGTGTCAGAGAGGCCTGGGATTCCCCCTGCCTCTGCCATGAACTTGCTGTGTGGCCTTCAGCAGTCACTGGCCCCCTCTGGGGCTCAGTGTGGAATCAGAGGGTTGGACCAGAGGACCTGATTTTCCAGGAGGTCTGACATCTAAGGAGAATACAAAAGTGGCGGATAACATGATGTGGCCCCTCAGGAGCCTGCCCTGGGACGTGTGTCATAGATGGGGTTCAGAGGGTGCCCCGAAGTTCTGAGTAACCAGGAAAACGCAAAACAGAGACAAGCATTGCTGGGAAGGCCATGGGGTGCCTGCCCGGTTCTCTGGGGCTCGCCGGCTCCACCCGGGACCTCGCTGGGTGGGGGACAGTACAGTACGAGTGGAATGTCTACCCTCCATGTCTGACTCTTCCTTCTCCTCCCTCCTGACCCGCCCTGAGAGCAGCTGGGCGGGGCCTGCCTGCTGGCCATCGGCATCTGGGTCCTGGTAGACCCCACCGGCTTCCGGGAGATCGTGGCCGCCAACCCCCTGCTGATCACGGGCGCCTACATCCTCTTGGCCATGGGGGGCCTGCTTTTCCTGCTCGGCTTCCTGGGCTGCTGCGGGGCTGTCCGTGAGAACAAGTGTCTGCTGCTGTTTGTGAGTACCCTCTGCTCCCCCCACCTTGGGTGCCACGTGTCCACACCGCGGAGGACTCAGAGCTCAAACCCAGGCCTGAGCCAAGTAGACCGGCCACCAACCTGTTCCGTTGGCACGTGCCCTCCAGGTTTTGGAGCCTGGCCCTGGCCCTGGGCCCCCGCCCACCGCGTGGGCTGGCTGTCCTCACGTGGAGAGTGGCCTCGGCCCCCAGGTCTGCACAGCCAGGTATCCCCAAGGCATAGTCCGCTGAGAGCATGACCCAGGATGCTTCTGAGAACTCAAATGTAGAACTCCATGGGAAAGAAGGAGAGATACCTGTTTGCATTTCTGGGTTTCAAACAGAGGTGATACGACCTCTGAAGTCTCTTTATTCGTTAAGTAAATCGTCCCCGAACTGCTCCTGCAGGCCCCGGAGTTCTCCAGGCGCTGAGGGCCGAGCCGCCGCCCCCTCCCTGGCAGACAGGCAGGCAGTGCAGCAGGCCTGGGTGTGGGCGCGCGCCTCGCTCGGTCCCCTCACTAATGATGGGTCTCGGGCCTAGTTTCTAAGCCTCTCTGAGCTTTCGTGTCTTTGCTAGCTCATCAAGGGACGGCGTGGCCATGGGTGGAGCCAACCGAGGCAGGCAGTGGGTGTTCTGCTTCTCTGAGCTTCTGTATTCCCGGGGGCTAGGGTCCTTTGGGCCTGTGCCTGCTTTCCTGGCCTTCCTCCCCTGGGCGCCCCGGGCTGGAGAGCTGCTCCTCTGGGGTAAGGTAGAGACAGCCCTGCTTAGAGAAGGGTGTGTGTGTGTGTGCAGGTGCCGGAGGGGGCGGGACTTAGGCGATAGGGAGGCGTGGCTGGTCAGCTGGAGGACTTTCCTGCAAGGTTATTGGCTCCTGAGGTTTTGGGAAGTAGAGATTCACCCCGGCGCCTCCTCCCCAGACTAGCACAGATTGGGTGGCCCCTATTCCTGTCGCAGTGACACCTCCCACGTCCCAAACAGGAAGTGAAATCAGCTGTGAAATGTGTGACTCGGGAGCCCTGGGTCCCTCTGGCCTTCAGCAGCCTGAACCCTGCAAACTTTTCATCTGGAGGGAAACAGAGGCCTGCGAGCGCCCCCTGGCGGGCAGCCCTCGACAGCGCCAGCCGGTGCCAACGCTGGCTTGGGAGCCCACAGGGACTTTAAAAGGAGCTGGGATTTGGGTCCCTGGATACGGCAGCCTTCCTTCTTCCCCTCGCCTCAGCCACCGAGTCTCATCCCTGATGCCAAGGCAGGGGGCCAGGCTGGGGTGCTGGGCTGGGAGCAGGCTGGGGCCCTCAAATGTCCTCCCCATGAAGTGGCAGCCTCTGAGCCTACCAGTGGGTGGGTACATCCGTCCCCGGTGTTCAGGGGAGAAGCAAGACCCAGAGAGCAGCTGAGGTTTGCTCCCAAGTGCCCCAAAGAAGAGCTGAGGCCTAGCTGTGGCCAGGGTCCAGCATTCAGAGCCTTAAAATAGCCCCTTCCACCCCTCTCTCTGCCACCTTCTCCTTCCTTCCTTTTCTCTCTACGTTCCTCTCTTTCCTTTATCCATCTTTCTCCGCCTCTAGCTCTCTGCCTCTTAGCTCTTGCTTTGTATTCTGCTGCCTTTCCTGATCCCTCTCCTGAGCTCTTCTAGTCTCTGCCCCTCTCTCCCTACTTCCCCTGTGTCCCCTTCCCTCCCCTCCTGTCTCCCACTCTTCCCCTCCCCTCCCTCCTTCTCTGTTCCCCTTCCCTTCCCATCCCTCCTCCTCTCTCTGAAGCCCAGCACCTATTAGCTTGAGGTCAAAGTGCAAGTCAGAAGCAGGGTACTTTTTTTTCCCCAAGAGACAGAGAGAGACAGAGTGCTAGTGGGGGAGGGACAAAGAGGGAGACACAGAATCTGAAGCAGGCTCCAGGCTCTGAGCTGTCAGCACAGAGCCCAACGCGGGGCTCGAACCCACAAAACATGAGATCATGACCTGAGCCGAAGTTGGACGCTCAACCAACTGAGCCACCCAGGCACCCCACTAGAAACAGGGTACCCTTGGACCCATGAGGGTCCCCTATCTCTCAGACCCCCATGTTAGTCAAGGAGCTGCTAAGCTAAAATGAACTCTCATGTCTGAAATTCACCTAAGATTATGTGCAGAGTATTACATCAGAGCCCTGTGCTTCTGGGGACAGATACCGCAGCTTCAGGAAGGTTTTCAGATACATTCATGACCTCACGACCTAACTAATGAGACGAGCCACTTCTGTCTTCTAGCCTGGGCCAGCCACGTGGCCACTCCAGCTGAAGAGGGGCACCAAGCCTCCCCGCTGGGAGCCACTCGGGTCCCTGGAGAATCCTGAGAGCCCTGCCTCTCAGCCTTCAGGGAGGGCGGAAGGCTCATCGGGGACAGGATCAAGAGGGAGTGACATCAGCCGCCTCAGCAGAGGAGGAGGAGGTCTGGGGTGGGGGTAACGAGCTGTCCTAAACCCTCTGCTCTGAGTCCGAAACCCCAGGGCCCCACCACCCTCGGCCGACCCAACCCTCAAGCCTAATGCCGACATGAAAAGAGAATGGCAGAAAGAAATGAGCGTATGTAGAGATGGATGAGCTGAATGACATGTGAAGCATGTGAATTCGGTAAACGTTTTTTCGAAATGAGAACTGAAAGTAGCCGGGCCGGTGGGCAGATGGGCTGGAAAAGCCTGGAAATGCCTGCAAACAGGCAAGATCGCAGTTTCCGCCCCTTTGTTAATTTTTCCATCCTAAGCAAAGTTGTGTCCACCTGATGCTCGGGAATTACTGGTGAAGGTGTGTTTAGGCAAATGGGATGGGGGGAGATGAACCCTGAGAGAGGCCTCACCTGCTGCGGGAAGCCCCAGAGGGGTCGGGAGCAGCCCCAGCGCAGGCCCAGGGGAGACCCTTTAAGCAAGAGGAAATTGTCTCATGCTGGAGAAGGCCGGTGGGCTGAAGTGCCCTTGTTACTGGCGCGGGGCTTTGCCTCGGGTGATGCGTCACACACCCTCAGATCCCCCCTGGGTCCCTGTGCTTAGGGAAGTCCTGGTCCAGGGAAGGAGCTACGCAGGCCCCCTTCCTCGGAAGAGGCCTACTTCCTCCTTCAAGTCACCAGGTTCATTCTTAAATTTCATCTCATGAGTCATGAGCCTTGGCTCACCGTTAACTGCGTGAAGATGGAGGCTGCCTCTGCCTTGTGTGTGTCAGTTTGCCAGTACCTAGCATAGTGCCTGGCACACAGCAGGAGCTCGGCGAAGAGCCCTGGAATGGACGGACAGAGGGGAAGTGGTCTTAGAGGTCTTGATAAGAGCATGGGCTTTGGAGCCAGAAAAGTCTCCATTCTGATCTCTGCTACCTCCTGGCTGTGTGGCCTGAGGGCAGTTACTTAACCTCTCTGAACCTAGACTCCTCCCGTGTAACATGAAGGCGATGGTACCTCTTTCCCAGCCAACATGTTGTGATCATCGCTCAGGGAGAAAACGAGCGTCTTGCTTAACTCTGTTCCTAGCCCGTGCCTGCACTTGAACCTGAAAGAATTGAGTTGATCCACAAGAGACCCTATAGGCAATCTGAACAGTTTTCAGACCCTAAGGCTGTTACAGGGTCCGGGGTGACATGGTGTTCTGAGGCCGCGTTCTGGAATCAGAGTCCCCACGCCTATCCAGGTGGGCTGCCTACCGGCTGGGCCAGCTTGGCCACAGCACTAACCTCTCAGGGTCCTAAGTCCCCCCTTGGTCAGCTGGAGGTGTAGACGGTAAGGGCATCTGCCTCACCAGGCCGCTGAGAGCATCCAAAAGAAATGAGGCGCGTAGGATCCGCGGCGCCTGGGCCGAGAGCTCTCTTGGTGCACGGTAGCGGCTCTTCGGTTCTGAGAACTTGCCGCACCGGCACCTGTCCTCGGGAAGGCCGTGCCTGCCTCTTGGCGCAGAGCCAGCATGCGAACAGCTGTGCGCTGTGCCAGCCCCGTGCACCGGCTCACCGAGGCCGTGCCCAGCCATCCGGGAAGGCAGCGCGCTCCCGGCGAGGCGCCCGCGGCGTGCGCGATGCCTGAGCTCTGTCCCGTCCATACTTTATGGCTGTCTGAGCTGTGATCGGTAGCCAGGGCCAGCTCTGTAGCCTTGCTGAGGATGGAGACCGTTTCTGCGGCTACTCCTTGGCGGCCTGAGGTCTGCCGGCAACTCCACCCGGGGGCAGGGAGGGGCTCCTGCGGCGGCCCCGTGCAACACAGCCGGAAGGCCATCCATCTCCCGCCAAATGGAACTGCCAGGGCCCTCGATCACTGTCACAGGCGATGGGAGGCTGCAGAGCCTCTGGTGGAAGTGGGGATCGTGGGGCCGCAGAATGGTCCGTGGCTGTCGTGGCGGGAGGCACAGGAGACTCTCTGTGAGTCTCCCCTCTGGTGGGGGAGCTCTGCCCCCAGGCCCCAGCAAGCCTGCAGCTGACCTATGGAAAGCAGACCCCCGGGGTTCAGGAGAATCCCTCAGGCCAGTCCTGAGCCCCGCTTTCTAGCAGAAAGAGAGAGAGGAGGTAGCATCGTGCTCAGAGGGGACAGCTGGAGTGAGGGGAAAGGTTTTGCTCTGGCATTTTCGAGCTGTGCACTTTGAGGATAGTCCTTCCCTTCTCTGACTCATTTCCTCCACTGCGGAAATGGGGGCTGAGCAGAGAAGAACCTGTCATCCTTCTATGCTCGTAAGGGCCCCAACAAGCTTTGCTCACCCTGGCTGGCGACATACAGCACATTCACGTCCATTATTTCATGGTCCCCCACTCCCGCCGGTGACCCGGGGAGTGGCTGTTAGCATCCCCATGTTGCTGACAAGGAAACAGAAGCTCAGAGGGGTTTTTAATGATGGTCCCAAGCCACACGAAGGGGGGCAAGGAGGCTGGGGTGTCCTGACGCTAAGCCCGGGACCCTTCGCCTCCTTCCAGCTGGGGCACGTCCAGTCTTGGGACAGCCGGCCGAGGTGGCTGGGAGGGTGTGTGGGGACCAGGCTCCCTGGGCACGGGGGCCGGGGCCCTTAGGTGGGCCGACAGCTGCAGGGTTGTCACAGACTGGAAATGCCAACAGTCGGTGCCAGCAACAATGCCAAGCAATGAAGGCAAAGTCATTTCCTGTTTCTTCTGCCGACAGCCTTCAGCCAAAACAGTGCCCGTAATGACCAGGGTCAGAGAGGTAGCAGATAACAAGGTCATTACAGTGAGCAGGTGACTCCCGGATACGGCACACCTGTGCCGGCGGGCATGGGGCGTGCAGCCTGTGCTGACGTTAGTGATCTGGGGGGCAGGGGGGGGCGCTGTGCATGCACTTCCATGGGGAAGCAGGAAAGGCTTCTCACCAGGCAAGGGGCTGGGCTAAGGCTGGTCTGGAAAATGCAGAGCTGGTGGGTGAGGAAGGGAGGGGCCCTCCTGGCACAGGGAGTGCAGGGGTGCCGTTTGCCCAGAGGCATATTTGTGGCTTACTTTCCCATATTTGTGTGGCCACCTCGCCGACTCCGAAGAGGGATCATTGGTGGGCTTGTCATGAACACATGCCTCGCCCTTGGGAGTGAAGTTCCCTGGTCGTATAAAACGGGCGCGTTTGTGTAAGAGGTGCCTGGGGCATCGGCCGCCGTCTCACGAGCCGCCTCATGTCTTTGCAGTTCTTCCTGTTCATCCTCATCATCTTCCTGGCGGAGCTGTCGGCGGCCATCCTGGCCTTCATCTTCAGGGAGAATGTACGTCCGGGCCCCCGCGCCCCGGCCCCTCTTCACGGCCCCACAACCCCAGCGACCACTTTCTGCGAGCCTTTTCCCAGAGGGCAGAATCGGAGGGTCCTTAAGGGTCTCTGCTCCTCCAAAGCACCCGATACAACCCCACACCTGATGCTGGAATCTTCCATTCCACACCGTGCCCAGCAGTAGCCATTTGACAGTCTGAGGACAGTCGGAGAGGCTGTCCCCCAAGTCCTGGAAGACGTGAGGTGCAGAGCAGAGCACTTGCGCTCGAGGCCTGGCCAGCAGCCAATCTGGGCAACTTGCCCCCATCAGCCACCTTATCCCAGGAGCTCCAGTCGCCAGGGGCCCAGCTCCCTCCCCTGAGTCTGTAGGACTTGGCACTGCAGCCAAAAGGGGCCCAGAAAGGAGGGGGGTGAGGGGGTAGGAGAAGCAAGCCAGCTGGGGAGGGGGGCGGCATTCTTGCCTCCGGCAAGCAGGGGACAGGGAGGAGGGGGAGGGAGCCTCCGACTGGGCACCGCGCAGGGTCCCGGCCCTTCCCTGCAAGCAGGAAGGAGGGTGGTCAGACCCCAGGAGAATATGTTGAGGCAGGATCACCTTCCAAGGACACCTCTGGAAACTGCATTTGCAGACGGCCCACTCCGCACTGTGGTTTCTTCCGGGAGGCTGGGACCCAGGGTATCGCCCTGGCTCTGAGGAGCAGCTGAGGGTAGAACAGCTCAGGACAGCAGGCCGCCCGCCGTGGATCAACTCTGCTTCTGAGAAATGGCCACAGGGCTGAGCGAGGTTCCCAGCGTGCCCTGGCCTTGGGCATGCAGAGGGGTGTGCGTGGGGACACGCCATCCGATAAGGGGAGGCCACAGGCCCTTAGCGGGGACTAGGGGCCACTCTGAGTTAGGAGGATCCCCAGCCTGGGCCCTCAGGCCTTCCCTCCCCTGCGGAAACAGACATCGGAAGAGACCTGGCCGGGCGGGGCCGCACCAGCCCTCTGGCCCCGGTCTGAGCCTTGCCCTCTGGCCCTTCCCCCAGCTCACCCGCGAGTTCTTCACCAAGGAGCTCACCAAGCACTACCAGGGCAGCAACGACACAGACGTCTTCTCTGCCACCTGGAACTCGGTCATGATCACGGTGAGTGACGCCCCCAGGGATGCGGAGAGCGCTTGGAGCCATGAGGCCCAGCGGAGCAAGTGTCTGGCCCCCAGTGCCTGTGCCAGCCATCAGGGATCAGTCAGGGCCGGCCCTCTGGGCCCAGCCTCGGCCTGGGAATCGGCCTCCACACAGTGTCTGGGCCATGATGTAATGGCTCATCGAATGCAGTCCGGGCTCCGGCCGAACCTGCTCGCTACCCGTGCCCTGAGCCCTCAGACAACTGTAATTGTCAGTGGTGTAATCACAGCAGACCCTCCGCTCTGCTCTCCTTCTAGTTTGGTTGCTGCGGGGTCAACGGGCCTGAAGATTTTAGGTTTGCATCAGTTTTCCGACTGCTGACCCTGGACAGTGACGAGGTCCCAGAGGCCTGCTGCCGGAGGGAGCCCCAGACTCGGGACGGGATCCTGCTGAGCAGGGAGGAGTGCCTTCTGGGAAGAGACCTCTTCCTGAACAAGCAGGTACCGGGCCCTGCTCGCCCAGGCAGGGGTGGGGCGGCCAGAGTCGGGGCCCGTGGCTGCGTTGGCGCAGAGGGTCAGAAACCCTCTGGAAGGGTCGGCTGCAACGTGCAACTCCTGAATGGGGGCTGATGGTCCAGCCAAAGCAGAGGAAGGACGGGGGTAGCAGATGGGCCAGCGATGGCCCAGGCTAGAGGGGCGGGCATTGCATCTGGGGTTAAAGGGTGAGTAGGAGTTTTCCAGCGTTCCAGGCAGAGCGCTCCCTGAGCTTCCGGTAATGCAGGGGGGAAGCCAGCACCTGGATTACAGAGTGGGGGCCCCCCAGCCTTGATTCTGGGGGAAGCCCACACATGCCGTATAGAAGCACCTCCTGACCCCAAGGGGGCAAGGTTCCCCCACCCCCATCCCCAAGGTCAGGGAAACTACCAGATTCTTTGTTCCTCCTGCAACCCAAGGACTTTATCTCAGTCTGGGAAGAAGCCCCTTCCTCTTCTTGCAGGTACCACCTCTGGCCCTTGCTCTGCCCCTCCTCCCCCCTGCCCTGCACCAGGAGACAGACAGTGCTCTTGTGCTTGATTCCTCCTTCCTCCCACCCCCACAGCGCTCTCCTAGCCCCTGGGGGTGGGGGTGTGAGACTAGGCAGGGCAGGGGCGGGGTGGGGGTGGGAGAGGACCCCGGGATGAGCCGCGCTTGCCCCATGCCCCTCCTTCGATTAGGCTTTTAATGAGGATCTCCAGGGAGACTTCCAGATGCAAGAGACACAGCAGGGAACAGGGGACAAGGCCCCTGTCCCCGTGGGGTACACAGCCTAGTTAAAGGAAGCACATGATAAACAAGGAGCAAACTCTGAAGTCCTACTTCCACACAGTAACGATTACTATAAAGAAAAGAAAACCTCGATAGGAGCTAGAAGGGACCAGGGCGGGGGCCTCAGGGCCGGCCCCTTAGAGCCCCAGGGCAGGGGCAGTGCGCTGAGGCCTGACCCTGCGGTCCCAAGGCGTCTTCCCAGCGTCAGCGTGGAGCTCAGCACCTCGTCCCCTGCATGAGCCCATGCCGTGGGGCCCCGGAGTAGGGGCTGGGAGCTTGGGGCAGTGAGGGCCACCCAGGGGTTGGGTCTCAGTCTCCAGAGAAGTCTGCAGGACAGGGCAGGGGGTTGGGGGAGGTGTTCAGGGCGGCCAGGATTGCTCCCTGCGGGGACAGCCTCTCTGGATCTCAGGTTCCTGCTGCGACAGCCACCGCTGGCCCTTCTCCCTGGAGAGATGGGGCTATGCGACTCCATAAGCACCAAGGAAAGGCCACCCTTCCTACACCCCTCCCCCCCCGACCCCCCACTGGGCCAAGCCACCACGCAGCAGCCAAGGACAGGCAAGCAGAAGTGGTGTGTACAACTTCGCGTTCAGTCCTTAAGAGAAAGCACGCGGTCACGCCTCCTCCTTCCCCCCCTGGCTGGAATGAACGTCTAGTGACAGCCAGCTGGGACCTACGGTGGCCCCTAGGATGTCACAACAGCAGGAGAGGTGCCTGGGCCACTGGCAAGCCCATGGAACAGCCAGGCCACCATGGGCTTTACTAGGAAGGACAAACGAACTTCTAGCTTGTTGAGGGTGGCTGTTAAGGACACACACAGGCCTGTGTCCTCAGGCCACCTGTGAGTTACTCAGGAAGGCTTCTCAAGGGCCCCGTTCCCTCCAGGCTTCGCCCGCAGAGGCTCCCCGTTTCCGCACTCACCCCTGATTATGATACCTGCTTCCATCTCCTGGGCATGGCTTTGGAATCAGCTCATCGGGGAGGTCCCTGCGTGGCGACATTAGTCCTTCATGGTGACTCTCCCTCAGAGCTCTGCGAGGGTCCCCCAAGACTGGCTTCTGGGATCCTTTTCTGAGACCCTCATACCCTTCCCGGGCATTCCTCCTTATAAAGGCCTCTGTGGAATGTCCGCTGCAATTCATTTCTTCTCCAAAGCCCACTTCCTAGAGCCCAGTGTGCACTTCTGACCTCGCCTTGCACCCCACCACGGCCTTGAGTCAGTGAGCAAAACATCATCAGATGGCATGGGCCTGAGACCCCAGCGGAAGAGGCTTATGCAGATTCCCCTTTGTGCTGCACACACAGCAGGAATTCTGGAAGGTGGTGGCTTCCGCGGTGACATCAGTAGCTTGTGTCCCGTCAGTCAAAGCCTGGTCCCTGGGATCTTTGTGGCCTTTCTTTGTACATATCAGTCCATGGTGGCAAAATGGCTGCATGGCTCCAGGCACCCCACCCATGTTTCAGACGCAGAGGAAGGGGAGGTGTGGCACCACCATCTTTCCCAGAAGGCCCCAGTAGATGGCTGCATAGATCTTGATGGCCAGGACTCAGTTACATGGCCACCAGGGGCCCACGGCAGAAGGCACCTGTCTGGATGTGGAATTAGCCCATCACCAACTCCAATGAAAAGAAATGAAGAAATCCAGAAAGAAGGTGACCGGTGACACATACTCAGACTCCCTCGTCGGCAGGAGTCAGACCCTCCCAGGCGGCTCCTCCAGCTCATTCCTCAGCCTTCCCCAGGTCCAGACAGCCCCCCAAGCAAGTCAGAATGTGTTCTCCTGCTGGATACAAATCCAGAGGCTTCCCAGCAGATGCTGACCTTGCTAGAACTTGACTCCAGGCCAGAGTGGTGACCACTGATAGGAAGTCGTCCATATCCCCTGGCTGTCGGGTGATGTTAAGTCTTCTGTCCTGACAGCGTCGCTGTCTCTCTGCTTTATCCCCAGTGCTCTCTACCTGCTTCCTGGCAGGTGCTGCTGTGACCCTTGACACCCTATCCTCCTGGCGTGAGAAAGCATTCCAGCCAGAGAGCGAGAGCAACACATGCAAAGGCCCTGGGGTGGGAGGGGGCATGGTATGCTCCAGAAACCAAAGGAAAGCCAGGGCTGGAGCATAGTGAGGGCTCAAGGTCAGGGCATCTGTGGGACCACATCCACTTTCTCTGTGTGTCTGTATCCATCTCTATCCCAGCTCACATCTCCCCAGGACTGCTTGAGAAAGCCTTCATCCATTTAGAGGGGACCTTGTGGGTTAGGAGGGCCTTTGGTGTGTTGCTGCCTCCCACCCCATCCCTACCAAATGGTCCCAACAGGGTTTTGACAGGGTAAGCCTGCTGCTACCTGTGCTTTGGGGCCACATGCCAGATCCCAGACTGCGTACCTCGGTCCTGACCCTGGTCTCTCAGCTGTGACTTCACCTCTGGTCCTTCCCTCCAGGGCTGTTACACAGTGATCCTCAACACCTTCGAAGCCTACGTCTACCTTGCTGGGGCACTCGCCATAGGGGTGCTGGCCATCGAGGTAGGTAAAAGCCCCCACTTCTATGGCTTCCCGGAAGCAAGGCACACTCGGAGTCTGGGGGAGACCTTCCCATGCCCTGAAGCCCCCCAGCCTACCTCTGTCGCCACATCCTAAATCTAGGACCCATCTGGTCTCATCTGTCTTATCTGAGCAAGTCTGATAAGTCTCCAGCAGGGGGTGGCGGGGCCCTGAGAGTCACCCCCATCCTCCTCCCACTGCCCTCATCACTCACTCTTCCTCTCTACCTAATCCTCCCCCAAGGTCCAGAGGGAACTCTTTAACTGAGAATCCACACCACTGCCTTGAGGAAATTACTGCGGCTTGTGCTTCTAGATCAGGCCTTTTCACTGTGTGGGGTTCAGGACTCAAGGACAGTCTTAACTAACCCCTTCACCCCCCAGTCCCAGAGGCCCCTCAAAAGGCAGGCAGCTGCAGACTCTGGCCGCCGCCACCAGGGGGCGCTTCAGCCGCGGAACGGAGCCGCCCCTCCCTTCTCCCGCCCCCTCCCGGATCTCAACCCCGCGCTCCTGCTGGAGTGTGGACTCCTCCTGGAGTGTGTAGAGCCCACGCTTGACCCGGCCGGCGGGGTCAACGAAGTCAGGCGGCCCGAGCCTCAGCCTTCCCGTCCTTCCTTTCGGCGACATCCCGAATGCGCGGCTCCAAGCCTGAGCTTTGCTCTGCTTCTCACGGTGCTCTGTCGCCAGGGAGCAGTTCGGGGGATGGGGGAGGGGAAGAGGGAGGGGTCCTTTAGTCATTCATGTCATTCATGCGGTAAGCCTAGATTGAGCGCCTGCTGTTTGCCAGCGGCGTTGCAGGTGAAGACATCTCTGGGGTGGGGGGGGGGGGGGACACAATGAGCCAGCAGCAGATAAATCTGCGCGGGGACCGCGGCAATGGCAGGGGTGTGCCCCATGCGGGAAGAGCTGAGCTTTTGGACTCCTGGCTCTGCCTCTCCCCAGACAGGGTGTCTGAGCCACAGATGACTTCTCTGCAAAATGACGCTGCTAACGGTGGCCCCGGGCTGTCCTCGCCCCTGGCGATGTGGGGATCCCCCGAGGGTGGGGACTACCTGCCTGGCGGAGGGTGCCAGGGGCTCCTTAGATGGTCTGTATTCTTCATCTGCCGTCCTCAGCCCCAGCCCACAAGCCCGGCTGTGGCCCCATGGGAGGCAGAACCCTGCTCCGAGAGGGGGACCTGAGCTGTATCCCTGTCCGAGCCTCCATTCCCCTCCGGGAGATCCGGCCACCAGCCTGTGCTCTAGAGCCCTGACCGTGGGGGCACGGGCGTTCTGGTCAGAGGGGCATCCCTGAATCGGGGTCTCTGCCTGCCCCACCACCCCAGGGCCCTTAGGGAGGTGTTCGTGACTGCTCTCAACTCTGGGAAGGGCTACGTCTCCCTTGCCTGCTAAGAATGATCCAGGTAACTTTCTACTAATCACCTACTAGAGAACAGGCATCATTGCGCCATCAGTCATCTTCTGCTTCAGTCTTTCTGCCCTCCTGTGAGCTAGAAGGGGGAGTGTAGACTTGTGAGCATAGGCTGTGGGCTCAGAACGGCTAGACTCAAACTCCAGCTCCCCCACTTGCAACTGTGTGACCTTAGGTGAGTTGCATAACCTCTCTGTGCCTTGCCTCCTGCTCCGTAGAAGGTTTCTGAGAAAGCACTTGGAAATATGCCCAGCACGTGGTACGCTCTCGGCACATGCTCAGGCCCAGAGAAGGGATGGGTGTGGCCCAAGGTTGCTGCTGGCAGATAGGGGAGTTGGATTTGAACCCACGTCCAAAGCTCCCTTCTTTCCAGGACTACTCTGCTTGCAGGGGACCATGCAGGGGGGCTTGGCTGCCCCCAAGGAATGCCAGGAGCCCCTACTGAGGGAGTGTGCTGAGTGGTGGGTGGGCCCCCTTTCTGCCCCGTGGCCGATGGCCCCTTCCCGTTGGGGCGGGAGAGCCCAGTGCACGGCTGGGAGGTCAGCCTGACGAGCCATTCTACTTTCTCTGCAGCTTTTCGCCATGATCTTTGCCATGTGTCTCTTCCGGGGCATCCAGTAGAGGGCGTGACCTGGAGCCTGAAGCCCCGCCCACCACCGCTGCCCAGCACCCAACGCCCTCCCCTCCCCGGTGCCCTTGCCCTCTTGCCCCCCGGGGGCAGGGAGGCGAAGCCATCATGAGTGGCCACAGGAAAGGGCAGAGGAAAATAGCTATTTTTTTAACAAAGCAGAATGAAGACAAGACTATGGATTGACGCACCCTGCCTGGCCGGCGGGCTCTCTGCAAGGGCCCCGGGGCTCGAACCCAGGGAGCTGTCTGCACTAGAGACCAAAGGAGCCCCGGGCCCAGTTCCCTGCCTCAGCCCCGCCAGCCTCTGGCAGCCCCGGGCCTGGGCCTTGTCCTCAGCCCCAGCAGCCAAGAAGGGGAGGATCTCGCCAACAAGCAGGCAGAAGCTACCCTCAGAGAGGTCGCCACGCCCGGGGCCCCAAGGAGACTGAGGCACCATGTCCTCGAGGACTTGGGACCTCCACTGTAACCCTGGTCTTCAGAGGATGGACTCACCCCTGTCTCAGGCCGGGCCCAGAGCGGGCTGCAGACACTGGCCCCAAGAACGGCCCAGCTGGCCGGGTCCTCGCTTCTCCCACCTGTTGGATCAGATAATCTGGAAAGCCCAGAGAGGGGCAGTTTCGCATTCACAGTCACACAGCACCTGCGTGACAATTCTGAATAAGAACCCAGTCATCCCTAGGCCGCCTCTCACTGATTCCAGGGCTCTGTCAGTCTCAGCATCCAGGTTTCCCCTTGAGAGATGGAGCAGGCTGGTCAGGAACTTTCCAGGTCCACGGCTGAGAAAATTGCCGACCGTGACCCCCTGCTCTTCCCCACCCCGTCATACTTCTTTCTAAGCCTGCAGGAACATACACACACACACACACACACACATACACACACACTACGGTCCCTTTTCCACACTGCCCACCTCTCCCCACAAGCCCCACCCCTTCCCTCTTCTCCACCAACTCTGTGGCTCCCAGGCTGGAAGGAACCCCTAGGGTCATTTGGTTCTCCTCTCCCCACCCGGAACTGAGGCTCAGATGTCTTCCACGAGATCTCTCCCGAGACTTCACCACCTCCTTCTTGCATACCCCCAAGGACGGGGAGCCCACTACCTCCCAAGACAGCCTTCTGCCTTTGACGGCTCTTTTTAGCATCAGCTCCATGCACATCAGAGTTCTCTGGCTTTCTCTGGCTGCACCTGTGGCATCCCACTTGCTCTGTCTCCTTCCCAAAGTATTCAGGCCATAGGTTGCCTCCCCCCAAGATGCGTTTTCTGCAGGCTACGGAGCTCCAAGATGTCTTCTTGCAGCTGTGACCTGGTTTCCTGTCCCTTCACAGCCCGCAGCACATTTCTGAGTGTTTCTCCCAGGCTTGGGCAGGGAGAGGTTTTCCCCAGACTCTCACTCTCTTCCCGCTCACACCCACACAGCACCCACAAATCAGCCCCTCCTGTACAGGCCCTACATTCTAGACCAGTGTTGGCGACTGTATACAGGATACCTCGACCCCAGGGAGTCAGCAGTGACTGCCTGGGGCTGTTCACAGGCTCCGAGGCTTGGCCTGGGGTCCAGGGGAGAGGACAGCATAGTCCCACTTGGTGTCTGCCTGACAACTTACGCTCGATTAGTGATGTCTGCCATGGTCATGGCAATGGGAGGGGCAGCGTGGTGCCTGACCTCCTCTCCACTGTCCCTCTTCAGGGTCTGGGAAGGGCCCGGTGTGACTCCCAGGCCCTGCGTCTGCTTCCAGCCTCCCTTCCCAGCCTGCCAGCCACTGGGAGAGACAGAGCTGTGGCCCGGAGCCCCGTGCTTCTCTGCCTTGCCGCCTGTGCCCTTCCGAGGTGCAGCCCCAGCTCTGTGCCTGCTGTAGAGATTGGCTTTGACCTTCTCCTGTCTCTTCCTGCTGTCCTCACCAGTCCCAGGTCCCCCTCCTGGTCCCCAGGCCGGGGCCTTCCCTACAGCCCCTAAACAGCCCCTCCTGGGAACTCCGGACGCAGTGCCCCTGCAGCTGGTCCCCCAGCCCCGCCTGCCAAGGGCCCCGGGCATGGCCCCCTCTAGACCGGCCCACCCACATGCTTAGCTCCAGCTTCCTGGCAGAGGTAAACAGCCAGTCCGTGGCTGGTAAAAATAAAAACAGCTGGCTTGGCGGGACTCAGGGTCTAACTGGGCAGCTGTGTGGCCCTAGTCCAGAGCCGGCCCGGACTTCTGGTCCCCCACCACCCAGGAGAATCAGGGGCCTTCAAGGCAAGGAGGGCCTGGCATCTGGCCCCCACCCCCCTCCTCCAGTCCAGTCCATTCCCACCCCTTGCTGGGCCCCGTAAGTCAGTGGGAGGAAGGGCAGGTCCTGGAGGAGCATCCAGCTGAGACAGGTTCAAGGGTGGATGTGAGACTCCTCCCCAAGGGCTTTCCAGAGAGATGCCAAGGAGCCCTGAACCTGGCCACTGCCCACATGGGCTGGAGAGAGGAAGCAGGCCGTCTGCAGCGCTGACCCAGGCTCGCAGCGATCTGCAAGGCTGCCTGCAGCCATTCTGAGGCGCGGAAGGGAGAGTCCGTGGGGCCTTTCCCAGGCACTGAGTCTAACGGGGCCGGTCCACACACGGCCCAGAACAGGTGCTGGGGACAGTCGTTTGGAGCTGGCCGGGGCAGGGGCATAGGAACACCTCTGCTTCCACAGGACAACCCTACGCTGTTGGTCACACACACCCAGGACTGAAAGCCACCTTCCTGCTCCGAAGCCGCTGCCTCTTAGAAAAGGGAACCCACCTGAGGGGTCAGGAGGTGCGCCTGTCCCTCCTTTCCACACCTAAGGGGCCCGGCCAGGGTGCCCCAAACCAGCCGAGGCCCCGGC